GGGGGGTTTAACCCCCTCGCTTCCCCGTAGTCCGGTCCTATGCCCGGGCCCACTCCGGCTGGTCCAACAGGGTTCGCTCCCGATCTGCTGGCCCAGCCGCCTTCCAGCAGCGACCGTGGTCCTTGCCCACTATCTCTCGTTTGCTGCTGGAGAAATCCCCCGCCACCGCCGAGCGGCAGCGTGGGCTCTTCTCGTTGGCCTCTGGGGGCAGCAACCCAGCCACCCCTACTGGCTGCATCCGCCACGACGCTGCCAGGCTCCTTCTTCTTCACCGACTCCTCCACCAGGGCCGCCAATTGCGAAATCTGCCGTTGCAAACTTGCAAGCTCCGCGTCGCGGCCCTCCTGCACTGGCGGGCGGATCTGTTCTCCGCTCGCAGCAGCGCGCTCTTCGTCTCCAGCAGAGCTCATCCCGATGTGGCTTCCCTCGAGGGGCAAAACTCTAGAGTGTTTGCGGCCTACGCCACTTATTTATCGGGTGAGACTGTTTTGGTGATGTATTAACTTCACGGGAGGTAGACGACCATCCTTCACACGGACGAAAGAGGGAGTGCTCAAAGAGCGGCTCCCACAGCAAGGAGGGGCCCCGTGAATCATCGCGGTGCCCCCTATCAAACGGTTATCTTACCAGTCTGCGTGACACAAAATCATCCAGCACATGTATCCAACAGCAATGTTCGCAGACTCACGAACACGTTTTCGGTGATGACGCCCAGGAGTTGAAGACGCCTGCTGCGGCGCTGCCAGAGGAGCGCGCTGTTGACGAGGACCCGGTTCAGGATACACCCGTGGCACTGCCGGATCGTCTCTTCACTACGACCCTCAGGCACTGCAGGTGCCTGCTGCGGCGCTGCCAGAGGAGCGCGCTGTTGACGAGGACCCGGTTCAGGATACACCCGTGGCACTGCCGGATCGTCTCTTCACTACGACCCTCAGGCACTGCAGGTGCCTGCTGCGGCGCTGCCAGAGGAGCGCGCTGTTGACGAGGACCCGGTTCAGGATACACCCGTGGCACTGCCGGATCGTCTCTTCACTACGACCCTCAGGCACTGCAGGTGCCTGCTGCGGCGCTGCCAGAGGATCGCGCCGCTGGAGTCGAGCAGGTGCACAATGCGCCTGTGACGGCGCTGCCGGGTGGCCTCGTCGTCTGCAACCCGCAGGCACTGCAGGTGCCTGCTGCGGCGCTGCCAGAGGATCGCGCCGCTGGAGTCGAGCAGGTGCACAATGCGCCTGTGACGGCGCTGCCGGGTGGCCTCGTCGTCTGCAACCCGCAGGCACTGCAGGTGCCTGCTGCGGCGCTGCCAGAGGATCGCGCCGCTGGAGTCGAGCAGGTGCACAATGCGCCTGTGACGGCGCTGCCGGGTGGCCTCGTCGTCTGCAACCCGCAGGCACTGCAGGTGCCTGCTGCGGCGCTGCCAGAGGATCGCGCCGCTGGAGTCGAGCAGGTGCACAATGCGCCTGTGACGGCGCTGCCGGGTGGCCTCGTCGTCTGCAACCCGCAGGCACTGCAGGTGCCTGCTGCGGCGCTGCCCGAGGAGCGCGCTGCTGATGAGGACCCGTTCAGGATACGCCCGTGGCACTGCCGGATGGTTCCTTCGTTTGTGACCCGCAGGCACTGCAGGTGCCTACTGTGGTACCACCAGCGGAGGGTGTGGCTGGAGATGGACCAGCAGAACGCCCGGCTGGATCTGCGGAGCTTCCAGCTGAGGGTGCGGCTGGAGATGGACCAGAGGAGCGCCTGGCTGGAGATCAGCAGGCCGAGGATGCGTATGAGACTACCGAGTTGGTAAGATACACCAGCGTGTTTCAGGTGGAAAAGGGGGAGTCAGAGGCTGTTGGTGATACGACACTCTACATAGATTCAGGGGCGTCGAGCCACATGGTGGACGCTCAATCTCGCATGTCCAAACACGTTCTGAATCCAGTGAGCTGCGCCGTTCGTATCATCGGGTCGTGTGGCACGTCTAGCGCTACCAAGAAAGGTACCCTGAAGTTCGGGATTCGCAATGCTCAGGACGAAGTGGTAAAAGTGGTGTTGGACGTTCTGCTGGTCCGAGACCTAGGAGCGAACATCTTGTCGGTTGGAGCGTTGGCTGAAAAGGGGGTGAAGTGTGATCTCATGTCTGCCCCTCCGGCGCTCCGACGCGGCGACCAGAATTTTTCCCATTTCAACCGCTGTGCCTCGAATGTACGTGATGAACGTCATCGTCGACGACCTCAACCTGGACGATGTATTCGTGTATCACACCAAGGTTGACGCTCACCTGTGGCATCGGAGGATGGGCCNGCCCCTCCGGCGCTCCGACGCGGCGACCAGAATTTTTCCCATTTCAACCGCTGTGCCTCGAATGTACGTGATGAACGTCATCGTCGACGACCTCAACCTGGACGATGTATTCGTGTATCACACCAAGGTTGACGCTCACCTGTGGCATCGGAGGATGGGCCACTGCAATCCTCGTGCGCTGCAGCAGCTGGCTGACGAGTGTTCCACCGGTATAAGCTTCCATCGTAACATCGAATCAGGTGACTGCAGTGTATGTGTAGTTGGGGACAGCAAGAAAAGCAGCCACCCGCTGTCCGATCGCCCCCTCTCTGAGACTCGGCTTGAAATTGTAAGCGCCGATGTGTGGGGGGAGCACTCTGGTAAACCGTACGGGGGTTGCCAGAGCGCCGTGATGTTTACTGACGAGGCTTCGCGCATGAGGTTCGGCTTCCCCATCAAGACGAAAGACGAAACGGCGGAGGCCCTCCAATCACTTTTCCGGGACGTTGCCGATCCGCTTAGGCAAAGCATCGGTACGGTGTACTGTGATGGCAGAGCAGAGTTCAAGGGCAGGTTCTTGGAGCTGTGCAAGTCGGTTGGAATTACGGTCATCAACAGCCCCCCCTACATTCCGCAAGGGAATGCCATCGCGGAGCGTTGGTTTGGTACAATCATCGGCACTACGCGCAAGATTCTCCTGGGGGCGCCGCACCTTCCCGGCGAGCTGTGGGCTGAGGCTTTTCGGACCGCCATTTATCTCAAGAATCGCACACCGACTGATGTCCTGGGCAGTAAGGCCCCACTCGAGGTATGGTAGAGCAGGCTGCTCGGGAAAATGTTACACATCCACGAATGGGGTTCGTTGGCGTGTAAGCACGAGGAGACGCGCTTCCGGTAGAGCAAGCTGGCGGCCAGGGACAAGAAAATGTACCTGGTCGGCTATGATCCGGAGAGTAGGTCGTACAGGCTGTGGGACCCAGCGGAGCCTTTCAAAATCACCAACTCTGCCGAGGTGTCATTCCGTGAGAAAGAAATGCGTGACGTGGTCAAACCCAAGGTAGGGCAAGACCCGTTTCCTGCGCCCAATGTGTCTGTTTATCAGCCTGGCGCGGTAGAATCTAGCGAAAGCGAAGATGAAGACACACCCCCCACAGGGCCGCCGCCGATGGCTCCGGGACCTCGTCGGAGCGACACGACCTCCGTGGCGCCGCAGCGGCTGAACTTGTTTACGACGGAGAAGGATGCGTACGAGAGAATCTTGCATGCCCTGGCGACGGGTAGCGACGTCGGCAACATCGGGAGTGGACGTCCCGGTGAAATGGGTTACATGCCTGCCGACCCGCCAACTACGATGAAGCGGTGAGTGGACCGGACGCCGAACGCTGGAGGGTAAGCATGGGCGATGAAGAACAATCGCTCTACGATCATGACGTTTTCGACTGGGTTGACGTGCCCGAGGGAGAACAACTGATTCCNCTCTGCCGAGGTGTCATTCCGTGAGAAAGAAATGCGTGACGTGGTCAAACCCAAGGTAGGGCAAGACCCGTTTCCTGCGCCCAATGTGTCTGTTTATCAGCCTGGCGCGGTAGAATCTAGCGAAAGCGAAGATGAAGACACACCCCCCACAGGGCCGCCGCCGATGGCTCCGGGACCTCGTCGGAGCGACACGACCTCCGTGGCGCCGCAGCGGCTGAACTTGTTTACGACGGAGAAGGATGCGTACGAGAGAATCTTGCATGCCCTGGCGACGGGTAGCGACGTCGGCAACATCGGGAGTGGACGTCCCGGTGAAATGGGTTACATGCCTGCCGACCCGCCAACTACGATGAAGCGGTGAGTGGACCGGACGCCGAACGCTGGAGGGTAAGCATGGGCGATGAAGAACAATCGCTCTACGATCATGACGTTTTCGACTGGGTTGACGTGCCCGAGGGAGAACAACTGATTCCGTCCAAGTTGCTATTCAGGTGGAAGTACAATCAAGACAACGTTCCGGTCCGCCCGACGACTCGCGTCGTGGTGCAAGGGTTTCACGAGGCTGATACGGGGGTGGACAAGACCGCACCTGTGGCAAGCATGGAATCTGTGCACCTGGTAGTGTCTCACGCCGCGTACTACGGTCTAGTTCTCAAGCAAGCTGACATCAAGACTGCGTTCCTTGACTCCAGAATGCCCGAGGGTGCGAAGCCCGTCTACGTGATTCCTACGAAGGGTTTCAGGTGCACGCCGGAGCAAGCCAAACAAGTCTGGCGTCTCAAGGCGTGGCTGTACGGCCTGCGTCTCTCCCCGAAGGGCTGGAATGGAACCTTTCACCAGTTCCTGCTGGAACTAGGCTTCGTACCGAGCACTGCCGACCCGTGCCTGTACATACTGCACGCGCGGGAAGTAATCCTACTGGTGTATGTGGACGACATTCTGCTCACTGGGACCAACGAGGAACTAGTGTCGACCATTATCGAACAGATGAAGGAACGGTTTGAAACGGTGGACCTAGGAGATGCGAAGTTCATCCTGGGAATGGCCATCCACCGCAACCGCGAAGCGGGCACTAGTCTCTTGACGCAGGCCGTACTTGCCAAGTTCGGCATGGCCGACTTGCACCCGACGAAGACGCCGGCGGAGGTTGGACCGATGAGCACAGTGGAGGAAGAGACTCTGACGCCGGATGAAACTACAATGTTTCGGTCCGCCACGGGTTCGGCTCTATACATATACACCGGTCGCCCCGGTGGTCTAGTGGGTAATCTCGCTGCCTGCTAGGGACCAGGTCATGGGTTCGAGTCCCGGCAGAGTGAGGTTTTTTCTCACTAAACAAATCCTGGTTGGAACTGGAGGTTTGAATCTTGGTGGCTCTCGGTTGCATCAAATTTGGGCCATATCATCCGAGCACAAGTCGCCGGAGACGGAGGAACACCTTGGTGTCGTCCGCAGTGAAGGACCTACTGGCGGTCAGGTCGAGTCGGCGTTGGGTACGGGAGGGGGTTCGTTTCCCCCGTCTCAGGTTGTGGCGGGCGCTATTGCGGCGGCCGCGAGGGCTGCTGCCGGTTGCGTGGATTCACCAGCAGGTGACGTGGCTTCAACAACGCAATCATCCGCAGATGTTGGTGCTGCTGAGAGCGGTGGGTTTCCGACTCAGGATCACGCTCGGGCCCTGGCTTCCGGCGGTGACCGCCAGCCGGAGCTCCGGCGTGCGGATGACCAAGTCCAGGCCCACGTCGTTGGGAGTCATCGACGAACCGAAGTTCAGAATTATTCACGATCTCACTTTCACCTCTGGCGTGCCCATCCGTACGAGCGTAAATCACGATACGGACTTTGATCAAGCACCTGAATGCCTCTTGGGTCATGTGCTGAGTGACATTCTGAAGCGGGTGCTGTATTTGCGACAAGTACACGGGGAGTCGTTGGAAATTCTGATCTGCCGCATTGATGTGAAAGAAGCCTTCCGGAAAATCCCCGTGGATCCGTCTCGGGCATCGGTTTTTGGGTACACGATCGGAGCTCACGCGGTTATTGACCTACGGTGTCAATTTGGATGGCGGTCGAGCACAGGGTTTTGGTCCTTGTTCTCGTCCGCTTTGGAACACTCACTCACACACGCACACTACATTTCAAGACGCGTCCGTCTCTCCCGCCGGTGCTGCGGCTGTGCAGCATGTTCAAGTAGTTTCCCCACCAGACGAAAGTACAGCGGTGCCGTTACCTGTTGATTGCCAGACTATTNCTCACGCGGTTATTGACCTACGGTGTCAATTTGGATGGCGGTCGAGCACAGGGTTTTGGTCCTTGTTCTCGTCCGCTTTGGAACACTCACTCACACACGCACACTACATTTCAAGACGCGTCCGTCTCTCCCGCCGGTGCTGCGGCTGTGCAGCATGTTCAAGTAGTTTCCCCACCAGACGAAAGTACAGCGGTGCCGTTACCTGTTGATTGCCAGACTATTGTGGGCGACGGGGCGTTTGCTGGTTCTCCGTTTTTCGTGCGATACTACGTTGATAATGGCGTGTTGATTGAGGGGAGATTTTTCGCTGATGGTCGCCGATGTTTGCGCGCGGTGCGTTCTCTCGCTACGGATCACATTCGTCTGCTGGGAGTGAGAGGCCCAGCAGAACCGCCGTTGTGGTCGCAAGGAAAGATCACCGATTTCGCTACCGGTCTGGATGTGTTGGGGTGGACATTGGACACTCAGTAACTCACGATTACTATGACCGACACGAAACAGCAGAAACTGGGACGCATTTTGGCTGCGTGGCCCGCGACGCGGAGAGTCGCTACAGCTCGTCAAGTAGCCGAGTTGACAGGGCTTCTCATGCACGTTTCGTCGTGTTGCGGCCAGGAAAGTTTTTCGTGGCGCGCCTTTTATCCGCGGTAGGGATGCCTGCTTCGTCTAATTTCGCGTCCCAAGTGCCGAGCCCGAACAGACGTGTAGTGCTGGGTTCATTATTCCACGATGGTCTCGAATTTTGGCGGTGGTTCCACGGGCGTGGTCTCTCGTTGCGCGGCGGAAGTTTGTGTGCACCCATGTACAACATTTTGGAACGCCCGCCTGCACTATCCGTGTTCACCGATGCGTCTAAGCACCAATTGTAGGGTATTGTTTGCAAACGGGCCACTACTTTCCATATGATCTGTCTATGGAAGAGCAAGCTTGCTTTGTGGGGTCGAGCAAATCGGTCCAGGGGGTTAATGATGTCAGCATCAACGTGTTGGAGCTCCTTGGCGTGGTCATGGGGGCGTGGGTGTTGGTATTGGGTCGAAGTCACCAGCTTGTGGAGGCGGGTGATTGTGTGCGACTTCGAGGAGACAACGAAGCAGCGACGGCGTGGATTGAGCGTTGTCGGGGGGGCCTTGAGCCTCGATCGGGGGCGCTGGTGCGCCTACTGGGGGCGCTGGAGGTAGCCAGCGGGTGGCATTTCCACGCGACCCATGTTCCCGGCATACTCAACTCGCTCGCTGATGGTATCTCCCGTTGGAATACTAACGATGCTCATGATAACCTGTGCGCTGGCTCCCCTCATGTGGCGTGGCAGATCGTGGAGTTAGGCCCGACGGAGCTCGAGTTGTGCTCCACCGTGTTGGCTTCGAGCTCGTCCGGCACGCACTTGCGCCGTCGTCTGAACGAACTTACCTGGGATTTTTTGGAGCGTGGGTGAAGTTTCGAGAGGACGTTGTGGGGAGACCGGCGTTTATGGTGCCGTCGTCTCCATCGCCGGACATTGTTTCGCAATTGTTGGAGTACGTGGCATACCCGTTCACAGAGTGTTGGGCTTGAGGCAGACGACGATAGCTTGTCATTTGTCTGCTGTTAATTTTTTTCATCGCTTGTCGTATGCGATGGAAGCTGATACATGTCATTCTTTTATCAAGCATGCGCCCAAAGGGGTGGCGCGAGGGTATGCGGGTGTTGGTGCGCAGCAACGGGTGCAACGTCCGGTGTCGTGGTCGATGCTGAAGGAAGGCGGGCGTCTGGTGCCATAGTGGGGCACGGGTGGGCGCGTTTTGTTTCTGGCGTTGAGTGCGCCATTTTTTTTCTTGATCCCGGCATGCGAAATGTTCGCTGGGTCCTCGTTGGCCATGGATTCTTGTCATGGGTTGCGTCGGGGGGACGTGGCGTTTTTTTTTGGGTTCTCGCCAGTTGCCTCCTGAACGGAGGGGAGAGGCCGACAGAGTCGAGGTGCGGTTTCGGTCGTCGAAAGGCGACCAGTTTCGGAAGGGTGCCGTGTGTACGCGGGCGAGGCCGGGGCCTCCCCAGTCTGTGGAGTGTGTGGGGGGTGCAGTCGATGTGATTTGAACTCCTGTCATGCTACCCTGTTCTCCCTTCGTCTGCTCCGTTCGTCGCGTTCGGAGCCGGGGAGGGGCGATGGTCCGTGTGGACTCGTCGTCACGCGACGGAAGCGCTGCGGCAAGTCGTGTCGTTAGCGGGTCTGCCGTCGTC